CTGATGGCAGCGTTGCTAGATTAGTTAATTTTTCATAACTTCAGGTAAGAAAATCTGTGAAGTTTTGAAGAAATTCAATTATTGTAGAAAAGTGAAATGAGCTTGGAGAAATTTAGGTATTTTTTTTTGCAGATTTTGTATAGTATTTCGTATAGCGGAAAGTACAGAAATATGTCTTTTATTTTATGGTTGCATTGCTAAATGTAGTGAAAATCGACGAAAATTGTATCGAAATTTGTGATTGGGTAAAAACGAAGAAAATCATATCAATTTGAAGAAACTACATTTAACTTTTAGGTAAAATTAATAAAATAATATCTGGGAACCCTGGCTGACATTTTGAACTATCGTATCGTAAATAGTTGTATAGAAAAATATGATACATTAATTCACCGTAAACTATTGCCATAAATCTTCACTTATAAAAATAATTTACCATTTTTTATATTGAAATAGCCTTCTCTCCTTATCCGCTTCGTAATTGAAGTAAATCTACTGATAAAAGTCTTGGTTAAAAATATGTAATCCGATACTATTTTCATAGTTACATATATTTAGTTAAATTATACGTACCTACTCATTATAGGTATGTCATATCAATAAAATAACGTCCATTTCCACAATATACTATTCTAAATTTATACTATTGGTACATATATCATACATTTTATCTGTCTGTTACCGTACTTTCAGATGATAGCAGCAATCAGCCGCGACTATAATATACGGTTTCAGCATGGGAACCACCCGTGTCACGCTCGATTGGAGACAACGAACTACAACTGTCAAAGTACCGCTACATGATATGTCTTTGAGAATCTGTCACTAAGTTATCTATTGTCACATTGTAATATCTACCTATACGATAATGAAATGGTATAAATCGTAAAGTCTATATAACTTATAAAACACAGTCTTTTAAATGACATCGTTGAATCTTAATTCGATGTTTAAAATCTAACAAAATTCTTTTTAGTAATATTTAGTACTAAAAATTTTTATTTTCATTTTGAGCTACCATTTATTATATATTACAGAATTATGTGTTACTGTTATTAGTGTATCTACAAGTTATGGTATTTATTATTGTGGCGATGTTCGATAATACCTTTCAACAATCGTTATCTCTATTGTTGTCCGCTGTTCTCTGATTTCTACAAAACATTTCTCTTTTATGTCTATGGGAATACCAATATTTCATCTTTATGTTTATTATTTTATTTATCGCCCTATCATATTTTGCTTCTCTGAAGTGCAATTATATAATTTTTGTTAGCATCTAATGCCACATATGTTACGAAAGTATTGTCGACACTGAAGAAACTCCACAGTGAAGAAACTTAACAAGGAGCTCATTCTATGACCTAAAAGTTCCCTCAAGGAAACTTTCAAGAGAAACCTTGTAACATTTTCTTGAAAGTTTTACTTTTGCAATTTAGATACGGAACACTAAAATAATGCATGTTCCATAAAGTTTACGTAACAGCATCGTAGTATGTTCGGCCTAATATAGACAATGATAGTACAACAATAGGCAGCTTTCACTATTAGCTTGGAACACGCACATCTAGGGCGGATGCAATTTCTGGACCAGAAAGGATGTTACATACTCATTGTTCTTAGATGCTTTCATCTTTTACTACCTTATTATGCAACATTATCGTACCTTTTTCGTAATATTATATAAGAATTCTCACATCTCTTGTTAAACAACTGTTAATAGTAGGAAATAAAGGAGTAACACAGTAATCTTATCTGAAAGATGAAAGTGAAATAACAGAAATCTAAATAAATAAATGTAGTAAATCTAATTTATATCTAACTTTATCGCATGAAAGTTAGTTTCGGCATAATAATTAAAATTATACACGCGTGATTTGGATGAAATTTTTAACGACATTACCTTTCCATTCATAGATTTCTCCAATAGAAATAATCAAAACGATGATATCCAGTCACGCGAGTTACGTGGGACCGAAACTGGGTGAAAATTATTATTATAAATATTTAAATATTATAAAAAATTAATGAAAATATATTTTTTTTTAAGTAGGTATAGCAATAACACTTAATTAGTCAATTCGATTCATTCTCTCTATAATCGTACTCGTGTATGCATCTAGTCTAAAAAACGGGGGGCGGGGGAGGGGAAGAAGAAGGGACTGTTAGTATTGAAAATTAGTAAGATACCCTATCAGGTTGACCTCCACGCGGTATCCCCTGGAAACTATCGTGATTGATTTATTGTTGAATTGGTTATGATGGGCTAACTGACCTGTTTTATCGTCATCTATCATCCTTCACAGATACTAGTGCATTCGATAGCGCAGGCGAGGTAACCATTCCATTACTATTCATTAAAAAAAAAATCAAAAAACGGAGAATGAGAATTGCAAAGCATTAACTACGTAATTGTTTACAAGATATTCAAAAGCCTTAGTATTTAGTGAGTATTAAAACTTTAAAAAATGAGTACATTAAAGTCTTAAATTACTCTCTTTTAATGATATTATATATATATATATATATATATATATATATATATATATATATATATATATATATATATATATATATATATATATATATATATTAATGTATACAACTATTTAATCTATATTAACTGGTGATATTATAAGAAACAATGAAACTTAATTTTATTTATATATTTAAAAAAAAAACTTGGGGACACAAGAAGATAGTCGTTGCCAGGATCTTCATAACATAGGATTCTCCAGTTGTATATATAATTTTTTTTTTATAGTTCCCATTAAAACATATTATTTCATAAAAAAACGAGGTAAATAATACTTGCATGTTTTTCAAATATGTTATAAAAAATATAAGGGTGATGGTGTATGATCACGTAAAAAAATTATACCTTAAATTTTGTACACAAGCGTTAAAATAGTGTGTAATAATTGATTGGAAAAAAATTAAATTCGGAATTTTAATATCCACTATAAACTAAGAAATAGCAGAAAACTAATGATGACTTCTGCACAGATAAACTCGCGGAATTTGCTCTTATTATATTTGTCATTGGAACAATGAATACTTATAATATAATTACGTACTATGACAAATAGTATATAGTATAATGATGTAGTAAATACAAACAACTATAGTATAAAACTTCAAAGCAGTTTCGCGGCCCTAAGAATATATATTACTCTTTACTTAAAATAAGTAAAATAAGTTTTTTATCTACCTACTTAAATTATAAACGTATGTTGGTCGTAGATAAAAAAAGTGTGTATCAAATTTAATTCTAATGAATGCCTGTGTAAATTTATTATTTTATAAAAATTAAAAAATGTTATTTCAAAATTTGCGTCATAACTACAAGTTAACTTGTATTATTGTATTTATTCAAGCTGGCAACGATTTATTTTTATTATTTTAAAATTACTCAATGACTGAATGATAGATTGTCGTTAATAATAAAACTATTGCGGTTATTGTAATGAATAATAGTAAATTATTATTTCTAACATCATTCCTGGTGAGTCATTGGGCAATGCAAGTGAACTCCCAGTTAAGGATTGTCGTTGGCTGAATATGAATAAGTAGTAAGTAGTCCTTGTATTTCATATGAGTCACCCCCTATTGTAATTGGTTATTTAATACAAAACTTATTACTCATTGTACAATTACATATTCTGTGATAATGAGTCGTTTAACAGTACGTTATGGTAATTAATATCTATTCTAATTTTAATTTTCTTACTAAAACTATATTATAAGTTATGAGTTTATTAGAATCTTGATTTTGAGACATTTTCTTCGTTACTTATAAAATCTCTCGGTACATCTGTATGTTGTTTAAAAAATTCTCACTGCTTACTTACGATTTACTTTATGAACTTCGAGAATAATTTTGCATTAATGTGAATACTAATGTTATTCATACTCTGCTCATATACATCATAACTCTGCCTATTGGGCCACTCAGTGGTGGTGGTATATATATATATATATATATATATATATATATATATATATATATATATATATATATAAATATTCGCCCAGTATCTTCTTCATCTTCTTAATGCTCTTAGTATGCTTGATGATGTTTATATGATAAAACATGGAAAGTCTATGAACCTTACATTATATAGATAGAACATTATGGAGACATCCATACAAATGCTTCGAGAAAAGCGGATCAACATTTTCATACAATATTTTCGTGATAAATAGTTGAGTGTTTCCTTTATAACTTCTATATTTATTTTGTTTTATAATTTATGCATCTTTTGAATGCATAAAAACTCTTTTTGATTATTAAATATAGATACGTCAAGGTACATGTGCGTAAGCATATAGAACACTGATAAAACTCAGCTGACCTATTTTTGAGACTCGATGCTCTATCTAAGTAATCTAAGCTGTAAACATAGACGTAGCGATTTTTACAAAAACCTCTCTAATGTAAGGATTAAAGGCATAATCTGTGGTATTTACTTACTTTAGGTGATGCCTTGGTTTTCTAAAATTATTGTAGAAATTTTTTAGGTAAATACAACTAACGCTATCTATAAAATAATTTTACATGAAATTAGACTTCATTACTAAATTCCATCTACCAAGTCAATCACACAGTTACTAAGAAATAATTTAGCATTTAACGGGACAAGAAAGTCAGTCTTATAAGTTCAAACTATGCTTGTTAGGTGGCACTTAGATTGGTTCTGTGCTTCTCCGATAGGTGGAGTTATAGACGAAGTTAATTGTAGGAACGCGCAAGCGGAGCTTTTCCCTCCCACGCAGAGTTCAACATGCTTCGAAACAAGTTTTTTCTTGTACAAAGAAATATTTTATTGTACATTGCTTGTTTACTGAGGAAATGCTCTACTAATATTAACGTAAGCAGCTTTGTAGTAAGTATGACTACAAACTATCGTGCGATGGAGAGATATATTGGTGAGCTGAGTTGTGGATACAAGATCGGCAGCGAGCCACCAGCGGCCGGTTGACGGCAGTAGAGACGTGTTCGCCACTGTGATAGGGACAGGTGGCACGCCGCCCCCGATCACGCAACTTGCGCTCGCGAAACTCCCTTTTGTTTATAACACTTGTTGTGCTCTTATTTAGTGACAAATTGAAAAGCGATTGAGTCTAACATTTGTTTGCGAATTAAAATGTTAACTTGAAAGTGTCGTGAAGTGATCACATAGGATACCGGCTCAGTCAGTAATGTCGTCAAGTACGATTTAAGTGCAAAATTGTCTTAGTCAATTGAAATGACGATGTACACAAATCCCGCATGGATTACACTGGTGTGAGACAGTGCTGAATTTCGGTCTACTTATTTAATTAACGTAAGATCTCATTTCTATTATATTTTTTCGAACAAAGTTTAGATGTTAGATGATAAGTCAATTTAGAAGGGAAACGGAGCGAAGTAAGGAGGGTATTGTGTGTTAGAAATTAAGCTCATTATATGAAATCTCGCATGAGAAAATCTGCAATGTCATTTTATATTACATTCGAATAATAAACCTGTCTTTGTTCAGAGACCTCACAACGATTATAGAAATTAAAATTTAACCACAAGTGAAGCATCAAAATTTCTTTATTAAATTTTTTCAATCTTTAGATAATTTATTAAATATTTACTTTTATTAGACTCAGTAAGAGATATATGAATCGGTAAGAACTATTACATTCTGTAAGATATAGTTTGTTTATTTATGATAGATTTTAAATACACGAATACAACAATTCATAAAAATGTATGAATACAGTTCTTCTTATTTTCACAAAATAAAATTTATGTTTTCGAGTAAAATTTAATACTTTGCTTATGTGTTTGATGTACGACATTGAATTAATTCCGTATTATTATGCGTAGTACAGATAGGCATATTATCCGCATTAATTCTGTATAGTGGAGTACAATATAGCCCGTACGGACAACGCGAGGCCACGATGCCACTAGCACCGGCGAGTTGAATGGCCGCTGCCGCCACCGCCGCGGTCGTCACCGCCGTGACTATGGACGCTGTGCATCCATCCAGTCATGCCAACAATTACCTCACCTTGACAATAATCAAATTTTTCTCTTTCCGGAACCATTTCTGCATTAAATATTGTATATAACTTGAAAAAACTGAATTCAAAAATATGCTTAACAGTAGCACCTAAAATATAATCTTGAGACTAATTCAGTGATAGATTAATTGAATGTTTTGTTCATCAAGTCTTTGCTAATGAAATGAAATGAAATCGGATTGTTACATAGTGGTTTTCATATCGATCATAACATTATCTCCAATTTTGTTAGTAATTTTATAATTATTAATAAGTCTTAGTGCTTTTAATTTATATATGTGTAATGTGTATATAATAATATAATAATATTAATAGTTTAATATTATTCACAATTAAATATTTATAGCTAAAATTAATACTATGTTTATAAATATATGTTTAGGTATGTTATACATTATTAATTCACTTACTTCGAATATTGTTGCCCGTTTTAAAGTTTAATAACTAAAGCTTTATTTTCTTTTGAAGATGATCTCCTGGGAGACAGCCATCTTTCTTCTTTTCTATCTGGAGCTGTCAGTGGCAACAAGGCCGATCTCATTTATTAGCTTTCTTTCGAAATCACATGTCTTATTCATTTTATAAAGCAAAATTTCGGAGCGTCTTTGAAGTTGTAAAATTGGTACCTATTATGGTGTGTCAAATTACCTATTATATAGATTTATTACATGGAATCTTTTTGGTGGACGAGTATGGTGTGAACAACTCAAATCACAGTTTTGATTAGAGACTTGAGAGTCAGGGGCTATACGGTCCAAGCAAAAGGGTCAAGTGCCCTCTTGTCCTCAATAGAGATTTGTAAATCTCGGTCCACTCACTGGGCCACCCACTTCAAACGCTCCTGCCTCCTTTGTCCATAGTTTGTGAAGACATTTTAAGGTTTTTCTATTACTATATTCAATATAGTTGAATCCTGATAATACTTTGGTAACATTTGAAGTGTTTTAACCTATACAAGTGGAGAAACTAGTGCGGTGATAGTATCAACTTAGTGATAAAAAGCCAGATGTTAATACCTATGTTGCGGTTATTAATATTTCTATGTAGTTGAGATGCGGGATTTCAAGAAAAAAAGCTTTTCCATTCAAGTCTGTCCACATTACCTTAAATAGTTTAACCGCAATTTTCCCTTCTTCCACTTTACACGTTAGCTGCATTATTAATTTCTTTCTACCAATGTGACCGTATTCTCCATTAACGCATTGAAGTGATGGACAGATAACCTTATCGATCCATTCTAGAACAGACTATTGTGGAACATTTCCTTTGTTCGATTGTCATGGATTGTCTCAAAATGAGATGTAGAAATCACGAGGAATATTGTGTATCGCTTTTGAAAGAGTAATAGTGTATATGATTACGTGTGGATGGCAATGTTCGTGTGAGCGGAATATAACCGTGATGGTCTTGAATGATCATGAATATTCGCGGACAGCGAGGTAGGCAGCGGCGCGGGCGCGGGCGGTGCTCTGTGGGGGACAAAAGAGCCTTTGTTGCACAATGCCCATTTCCGATTACCAGATTGAATCGTGTCCGTCAAAGCGCGCCCGCTCCAATAATCGTCGGTATGGAGTGGTTGTCATTTTTGGATGAGTTCTTGTCATTATTAAAAGTATACCTAATACCCAACTCTGGAATGAAATACAATATTAAATCTTTAACCACGCAAAAATATGATGATTCACAACGAGCATATTTGATTGAAACACTTTTAATTATCTACTTAACTTCAGGTTATATTCAGTAAAAACTTTCCATCAGTTGGGCTTGTTTGCCATTCCAAGTCGGATAAAAAATTAAAAGGAGAGTTAATTAAAAACCTTTAATGAATGTGTTTAAGTGAAGAGCTGAGCTAAGTATCATGACTAAACTTGTTACTTAAATAAATATAATACTTAAAAATGTAATAAAATACGTGAGCCATATTTAATATACTTAGTTTCCAGAACTGTCACTATCAGTTACTGACTTATATATATGACTGCATATTATTTGTGAAATATTCACGATTAACATATAACTCAGCGTGTTCCACCGCTACTTCACCTGTGAGTGAGCAACTAACGAAGAACCCCTCAGAAACTTTGTTTTACGTAAGCACCGCACTCGCTTTGTGAATTAAAACCGGCGCTCCTTTCGCACTAAAACGCCCCTTAATGAAATGCGATCGTCGCAAATTCGTCTAAATTTCCGCAACAATGAACTGTATGCCAGACGCCGTTTCGCAAACGGCGCGTTACTCGCCCGCCCGCATAACGAGAGGTTAAATTAAATAACAACCAAACTTTGAGAATCCCCGAAGGATCAGGCGTATGAAGTACTCTATCTGTACTGTAGCGTGAACCAATAGAGCTATATTAGTTTGATTCCTATCGAAAGTTTCTGACCACAAACTGCTTGTGACGGGCTTAGAAACTGTGAGAATCCTTACATGTTTCTTGATACTTGCTCAGACTTTCAATATGTGCACACTTCATCGCATAGATATTAATAATAATGTTCAAATATTACTTCAGCGTGACTTGAATAATAATATTGATACACTTGAAAAAAAAAAACATTATATAATAATGCCATCGATTTAATACAATATATTATTTAAAGAGAACATTTATATTTATAACTTGCGATGATAAATATTATAATTGCCCAAAATAATTGTAAGAAAATCTAATGATTATGTAAATACAAAAACTTATATATATGAATAAGAAAAAAATTGTAGAAAAGAAACATATCTGGTCTATTCCAATCACATGGATCGATCGTACAAAATCAGTGTTGATTAAATAAATCAAGCAGCAATCTATCTGTTCTTTGCAACTCTTTTTTCACATTACGAATAAACAAACTGATCGTTCAGGATATTGTTGATGTACACAAATGATACAAGGATACAAGTAGAAACGTTGTCAAGAGATATTTTCAGGGTCCACGAAGCACTCTTGGTGAAATTCATTGCCCATAATGAAATTATAGGAATAACTAGAACTGGAATGGAACATCGAGTTGTTATTCAATAATGAGGACCGTGTACTATTGGTTTTCAATCCATATTTCTAGAATGTCCTTAAGTTATTGGGTTTAAATATACTTAAACGATAATCTATACCGTTGCTCCATCGAAGCCAAAGCTAAGAAGGACTTTACTAATACCTAATTGCACTAGATTAAGTGAAGCGCCTAACCAAGTTGGTCACTAGAGATTACAGTGTAGCCTATAATTATGTTAAATAATAATGAATTTTTTTTTGTATAAAATTATATAAATAATTATATATAATTAATAAATATATTAATTATATAAATATTTTTTTTTATATAAAAATTGTGAGATAGGTTAAAATTTAAACGTTTCCATAAATCTCATAGTCAGTTCCGATTTTGATTTTAACTGGTATACTTTGCTATATAGCTATACAGCTAAAATCTAAAAATATTTATCTCTTTTCCAAATATTATTATCCATAGATAATAAGAAAAGGTTATATCGCAAGAGTGACTCCATCTATATCTACTTACATATACGAGTGTATCATTTGGTAAAAAATTGTATTTATGAAATAATATATTTTAAAGGAAAAAAAAAAAAATCCAATAAAGTTTGGAATCAAATTCGAAGATCTACAACAGCAATTTGATATTATAACGCAATTTTTTTCCGCCACAAATTAATTAAAATAACCAAATACGTATAAACCCAAATCAAATAATTCTAATTTTATTAAAAGATATTGAATTTTAGTTTGTTACTGTTAGGAAAATTATGTAATAGCGATGATATATTAAAGTTTTAAAATTTAAACGTTTCCATAAATCTCATAGTCAGTTCCGATTTTGATTTTAACTGTCGGTTCATTGTAACAGTACGCAACAATTTCTAATATAAAATCGGTGCATACCGGATTTTAATACCGAAAATAAATTTAAAGTAGACAACATTAACTGTTTTGTATTCATTATTATTTAACATAATTATAGGCTACACTGTAATCTCTAGTGACCAACTTGGTTAGGCGCTTCACTTAATCTAGTGCAATTAGGTATTAGTAAAGTCCTTCTTAGCTTTGGCTTCGATGGAGCAACGGTATAGATTATCGTTTAAGTATATTTAAACCCAATAACTTAAGGACATTCTAGAAATATGGATTGAAAACCAATAGTACACGGTCCTCATTATTGAATAACAACTCGATGTTCCATTCCAGTTCTAGTTATTCCTATAATTTCATTATGGGCAATGAATTTCACCAAGAGTGCTTCGTGG